TCTTATATTTGAAAGGAGTTGATCCTTTCAAATAAACACGGTGTATATTGTTCTTACGGGACTATTTCAGTGGTGTAAATAATAAATATCTTTTCTTAAAACACTGGCTATCTGTCCTATATTATCCATATATTTTACTCCCCCCCCCCTTTTTTTTTTCCAATGTATTTGGTTCAGGGTCTCACTATTCAGCTTGGACTCATAGTGATCCTCCTGTTTTCAGCCTCCCCAGCTATGGGATTACAGACATGCGCCACCACTCCTGGTCTCAGTGGCTGTTGTGGCATGTGGTGAGAGGGATTGAATCCTGGTCCCTGTACTTGCCTAAGCAGGTGCTTAGTCTGTTGTGCTATCTTGCTGCCCCTTTACTTCTTTGTTGAATCACAGATCAGACATTGCGTTCAGGTAAGAACCTCTTAAAGAATTTTTAAATGGTTTAGTTAAAAGTGTATTTGACTATGCATTCAGAATTGATTCTAGCAAGTGATTAGATATGTTAGATTACTTCTAATAAACACCATCATGTTGTTTGGAATATGTAGTATTTTCTTTGTGACAGGTAATTGAATATAGAAATTTGAGTTTGTTTATTTATTAATAGACAGCATCTCACTATTCATCCAGCCTGGGCTTGAACTCATTTCATAGACCGGGCTGGGCTTGTGATCCTCCTGCTGTAGTCCCCCAAGTGCTGAGGTTACAGTATCCACCATGTCTAACCGAACTCTTTAAGTAGTTAAGCTGATTCAGTTAAAATGTGTTTCTTAATTATAAGGCTAAATTTGCTTAGTTAATATTATAACAGATTTTTATTCATTTCATTGGTACATTTTCTTACTGTATAGATTTATTGTTCCAAAGTAGATACAGAAAGGGGATTTAATCTTTTTTTTTTTTTTTTTGGAACCGGGGATTGAAAGGGATTTAATCTTTTTCGGTGAACTAAGAACTTTAATAATACAGGCCAAGAATTAACAGATACTTTCCAAATCAATATAAGTGAAAATAAAAATTTAGCAAGCCCCGGGAAACAAAACAGGATTTTATAAAACATTTGCTGCCATTAGGTGGTGCCCAAACCAAAGTTGATATGCCGGTGCACTTAGTGAAGCCCCTGTGGGAGGACATTGTCATTCCTGGCTTACTGACTCACATGTGGTACATGGAATGCTGCGGGATTCTTTATTACGTGTAATAGAGTATGGGAATGTCCGTATGCCTTCTGTGTCTCATGACTTAACTGCGCATGTGTATTTTAAATTAGTAAATTATATTTCAGAGGTGCATTTGAGATCTAGGATCCCTTCAGAGGCCTGTTAGGAAAATCAGTTTGTGAACTGGTGCTATTTCTAGCAGCTGTTCAGTTTGATAAAGAATAATTGGGCTGCAGCTGATGAGTTACAACTGATATGGGAAATGAGTTGTTTTTTAGTGGCAAGAGGTAGAACAGTGCAAGAATAGGGACTGGCAAAGATGGATGTGGAAAATAATTTAGGTTATTGCTTGGTTTTAAATTACAGTTAAAAATAGCAATAAAGTATGGATAGTGAATAAGCTTAAGGATTCTTATATAAAGCAATCAGCAGAATTCTGTCAGTGGACAGATTGCATTTCCACTAAGGTTTATACATCAGAACTCATTAAACTAGTTAGCTGATAGACATCTCTAAAGATCAAATGCATAGCTACTTAATATAAGGGTGTAATTTTTGAAATTAAGATACTTGAACATCTAGATCTTTGAGCTTCCCAAAGACTTTCGACAAATTATTGCATTATATATTGGGACAAGGTAATATTAGGCATACTGTAGGCTGCATTTCTAACCCTTTCAATTTTTTGAGACAGTCTTACCAAAGGTCCAGGCTGGCCTTGCATTTGCAGTCCTCCTGCCTCAGCCTTCTACAGGAATTACATGCATGTGCCACTAGGTGTAGATGGAAAGTAAATTTTTAAAGTCTTCCACACTGATAGTTCCTTT